TCGCTATTGGGCTGAGACGGCCGTGAAAGCCAACCAAAGGCGTGCCCGCTTTGTTTAACGGGATCTTGAAACCCTACTCCACAGAGCATCACTAAAACCTTTTTCAATGAATGCTTCAGTATAGATTATAGATCCGCACTCCATGACCTTGAAATACTCAATTTGATTCAATTTGTTTTTGGAGGCGATCCAGCAAGACTGCTCTCAAGCGCAGACTTGAGTGGTCTGAGACCGCGGACTTTGCAGCGTTTGAGAAGCCAGATGCCTTCGCTGGGCCTGCGCACCAGGTGGAGCGCCACAAGGTGGAGCCCCCCCAGGTGGAGTCTAAGGACAAACGTGAGGCACCGCCCGTGAAGAAAAAGGAACAAGAACCAGGTGGGGGCTGTTGATGGGATACGTCCTATACCTCAGGTTTTGAACACCAACACTTGTTTTTTAATGGGGTTGCTTGATCGGTCAGGCCACCATGATTGCAGCGATGATGATTCCCTTGAGGTCGATCCCGATGAGGTTTCCAAAGAGAAACAGCGGGAGAACTGTGAGAAACTCCGGAAGAAAGCAGGGTTGCCAGTTCTGGAGTTGGATGGCCTACCATCTGCCATTGCAAACAAAATGTCGAACCTTTGCCCTAAAACAGGAGTTCAGTTGAGAAAACATGAGGAAACTGTTCATCGATCTACAATCTAATGTGCCTTGATTTGGAAAACGACCGAGCCAGTAATTAGCCTACCCTGCCTGCCGCTGATGTTCTCAGGACGTGTTTGGCCAAACGGATGAAAAAATTGGATGACTTAGCTGCAAAATTTGATGTGGAGGGCCTGACAGATCTGCAAACCAAGTCCCTTGTTTGATTTCTGTTGTCTAGATGCTTTTCAACCTGTCCTGTGGTCTATTCTGCAAATCTAGCAGTTGCCTGCCTCAGGATGCAAAAAAAGATCCGTGAAGTGAATGCTCAAATGAAGTCAGCCTTTGACCAGATCTCCGATCTCACCAGTGAGGGGATTGTTAATGGCTTCACGGATGAGTTCTGTCCTTAGGTGAAACTTTAACATTGAACTTGCTTCCATTCTTTACTCCGAAAGTGGGATTCACACCCAACCAAACAAAAATATCATTGGCTGCCCAGGTGTGAGGTCAAGTTCAGGGGCCTCTATGCCAAAGCTTCTACTGCGTGCCCAACCCAGACACTTTCCTAACTCGCACACTGGGTTCTTTGAAGATTGACTTGCCCTAGGGCTGCTGAAGCACTTGGATGTGAGACACGGATGAGGCCACCATTCCTCGCTCACTACATCTCACCAGCCACAACTCTAATTATTGGTGTCAAACTGTGCCAGCCTGCCTTGCAGGCCATTGATTCCCAAACCTGGAAGCGCTAAGACTGTGAAGCGGAAGGCTGCCCGAACTACAAAGGCAAAGGCCAAGAACCAGGCCAAGTCCAAAAAGGACAACAAGTCCTGATAATCAGGATTTGATGGGTTACTGGACTGGAGGCCATTTGACTTCTTGTTGTGGGTCCCGTTGGTGTGGTGGCTGGAGAGAAAACCAGTCCAAACAAACACCAGAATTTGATTTTGAGAATGGGTAGTGATGGGGCTGAACAGTTCACTCTTTCTAGACTTTTGCTGCGAAGTATCTCGAGTGAATGCATCAAGCATAAAGCTGTTTTGAATCCTCTAGTTGAAACCTTTCTGAAGCCAAAGCCACTACTTGCACTTGCCATCGCTTTCTTCAGAGCGTGGCGTTTCATCGTACCGAGGGTTTCTGCAATTGAGTGCAAAAGTGCCACGGTAGGAATGCGGATTCACAGTGCTATGTTGTGAACTCTGACACTTACTTCAAATCTGGTAGTTTGATGCTGGCACTTACTTCAACACTCCCGATGGTGTGAACTTGCCAGGAACAAAGGGTCAACCCAATGAACAGTCTACGCAGTTTGAAGCCTATGCTGAAGCAATTGCGGATGGAGCCGCAGCCTCAATGACTCGCTAGATCTCAATAGATTTCTGAGTGTGAATAGAAATTAGTGGCTTCGTGTTTGGAAAAACATTTTTTGTTTTTGGGGGTGTGGGCTATAGTGGCCCTGCATCCGGTCCAAGGTCCCCGCCATAACTTGTGAGAGAGTCCATCGTGGTGCTCTCGTTGACAGCGGCCTGATGCCGCAATCGGAAAACAAGCGGAAGATTCACAATGTGACCAGAACTGCCTACCGAACGATCAGCAGGCTTGGAATTGGCTGGAAGATTCCCTTAGATATTCATGACCATTTCTTTGAAGATGGAGAACACTTGCCGGTACACTTTTTGCATCCTGCCAAGATATTGCAGTTCGTGACAGCTAACAATCCCGAGCTGGTTTTTGGTGGTGGGGACGATGGTGGGGTAGTAGCCTTTTGGGAAGCTTTTCGGCACTATCACAATTCGCATGAAGTCTACGGGGCCCACTCTGGTCATCTCAATCGTGTAATTCCTATTGCCCTTCATGGTGATGAGGGGCGTGGCAAGCGCAGAAGCAGTACTACTGTATTCAGCTTTGAAAGTGTTCTGGGTGCCTTTGGTGACCGAACCCCATGTTCAACATGTGCTGGATCAAGGGTGGAAGCATACCAGGGGGATCCTCGTGCGAGAAGGCTGGTGTGCAACTTGCAGGGACATTCTTTTTTGCAACATTACCCCCTATTTGTCATTCCGGGGGTGCTTGCGAAGGAATACAAAGGTTTGGTTCACGAGATGGTGCAAAAAGCAGCCGACATGTTCTACCAGCTCTTTCATGAAGGCTTCATGGTGAATGACCAGCGGTACTATGCGGCAGTGATCGGCTCCAAAGGTGATCTAAAATGGATGAGCTTGATCGCCAAACTAACTCGTGGATACGAGTTTAAAGGCCGTGTCAGGGACCTTCCCTCGTGTCACCAGTGCCTTGCTGGACATGCCAACTTCCCAGCAGAAAGCCTGGGACAGCGGCCAGAGTGGCTAAGCACAATGTTTGTTGAGAGACCCTGGGATGAGGGTAGCCCGGAGAGTTTGCCTGATCTAATCCGCATTCCCTTTGATGGTGGCAAACCAGAATGGCTTTACAAACACGACGTGTTTCATGTTCTCCGATTGGGAGTGTTCCGCGACTTTGCAGCAAGCGTGATCTTGCTACTTCTTCGCTGGGATCATTTTGGCAGTCAAGGAGATCTTGACACAAAACTTCAAGGTGCACATGGTCATTTTCGACTTTGGCAGCAGGGGAGCCGGAAGAAGGCATCATTGAGGTCTTTCAGCAAAAACCTCTTTACATACAAGACCAAAAAATCATACCCCTACGCGAATGTCAAGGCTTCTGATTGTAGCCTGATCTTACAGTGGTTGGTGGTTCTGGTCATTGGGATCTTGACTGCGGGACCTCCGCAAGAACAACTTGAAGTGCTGAACACCATTCTTGCTACTTGTCGTTTGGCAATCTCCTTCTATGACCTCATCACGTCACATAACATGTTCCTGGACAAAGCCTGTGCAGTGAATCTGTTCCAGAGAGGTCAGTCTTTTGTCAATGGGTACGTGTACCTGGCTCGGTGGTCTTTAGATCACCATCACTGTCTTTTTGCCCTCAAACCCAAACTCCACTTCCACAAACACATACTGGAGGAGATCAAAGCTCAGCTTGATGCTGGCTCGACCTTTGTTCTCAATCCGTTGATCTTTGACTGTTGTCGCAATGAAGATCTGATCGGACGAATCTGCAAAATTTCAAGAAAGATTGATGGTCGGATCTTACACAAAAGGGTGCTTGAGAACTTCCTGATTAAAGCTGGCATCCTGGCCCGCCATGCTGCCAAAGACCAAGCACCCCGGCGCCGGCGCAGGGGAAAAGCGTCTTGCCCGCCATGCCGGAGGTGGTGAAGCATCACTTCTTCAGTCTTGAGTGGTGGAGTTTGGGTGTTCTTCTGTTTGTCTACTGTGGCATTGTTATAACAAAGGTAAACCATGCACATCAGAACATGGATGTTATCCAAGTATGACTGATTATGATTGATGCAAACACCATAGAAGACCCTGTGTCTCAACCTTTATGATCTGAAACGGCGATATTTTTTGGAAGCGGCGATCTTTCATCCAAACGACGATAAATAGTTGAGTTTCATGAGACGGCGTTCTTTTTGCACAGGTGGATTCTCCAGGTATGACTGGAAGTATGGTGTGCGAAGATGTTTTGTGTTAGAAGGTACGTATTGCGAGTATTTAGTCGGTGCGTCATTTGTTATGTTTTTTTCCTACTTATGCAGGATCCCCAAACTTGGACAATCTGATCTTTACCCACCAGTTCATAGACCCTCCATCAACAAAACGGGATAAATAGGGGACTCAGTTGGCTGGAGGATGCCGGAGGCGCGTTCTCACACTTTCGGGTTTGTGCTTTCTCTCGGTTGAGACTGACTCACGGCAGAAAATAGCGGATCAGGCCGGTGATCGGCTATCCCTGCGCTCACCCTTTTTGTTGATGGTTGCCACGTCATGAGATTGACAGAGGCATGCAAAAGAGTAATGGCTTCGGTCCGCCCAAGGACTGAAAGCTCAAATACGGTGGGTCCTGTGATGCGGTATATGTATGATTATATATACATTTCCCAGACACTCCATGTATGCCATATGCCTACATTGGGGGGGTTTGGGGGCGTTTGGGTTTGAAATGAGTGTCGCTGAAGACAACACAACCTCCGAGACTCCGGGAACTCCAAAAGACATTCGACGTTTCAGCATGTGAACCCGCGACCACCGTGTATCACCTGATGCCACAGGTACCGACCGTGGAGCGGGATCCAGTACTGCCGCCAATGCCACAAGAATCCCGAAGACCAATTCAATCAGGATTCCGAACATCCTCCACTTGTTCACATCACCCATCACTAGATATCACTACTTTTTCACCACTGCCGTGACCCTCCCACACCCCCAAAGAACCGGCTGAACGAGCCTTGGCGGCGGAACGTTGGCGGAACGCCAGCCGCGTCGCAGGTTGAGGAGTTGCATCACCTCCCGGGCACTGTGCGATCTCAGCTGCGACACGGCGCCCCAGATCTCGCTGTGGCTCCTGCAGCACGCAGGCGTTTTGAGAGACGTCAGTTCACTAATTCTTGGTAGCATGTTGTTTAAATACATTTGCAGTTTACATAAATTGCAGTTTTACAGAGAGAGAGAGAGAGAGAGGAAGTCTGGAACTGGAGGTGGGCCCAAGAACCACACCTTTGTCCTCCTTTTTGCTCTCACACCTTTTTCGCGAAACTCAGAAGCACAGCGGAGGCGATGCGCAGATCATGAGCTGTGTTTGCAGCGCCTGGAGGCAGCTGGTGCATCTCTACCGGTCCCGGTGGCCTCAGGAGTCCCACTGTGGGCCATGGCCGAGGTGTTGGGGCCCAGGGGGTGGACCGTTGAACGCATTTACATCATTTATTCTAAATATCATATAGTATAGATATTTTTGCATTTCCGGCAGACCCTTGGTCTCAATGGCTGGCAAGGGGTGTTTGTCCTCCCCTTAGGGTCCGAACAGTTTGCCCTTGGGTTCTCCTGGTTTAGCAAGATAATGCAACACCCAGACGCTCCATGAGACTGCCATATATGCCTACATTGGGGTGGTTTGGGGCCAATGTAGGCAAATATGCCAGTCCCATGGAGCCTTTGGGATATAGTAACATGCATTGCTGGTGGATACTGGCAGTTGAGAGCGCTTGAACCGGCATCGATGCCTTTTGGAGTTCGACTTCGTTCGACCGGTCCCGTGCGAGGACTTCCTTCGGCTTTTTCAGCTGCAAGGCAACCATGGCTGGCCTGTGGCACGGCCTTGGCAAATCCTCCAGGCCCAGGGTGAAGTTGATTTGGGAAAGAAGGATAGCTTATCAGGTAACAATATGTATACCAGGCTGCAACATACAGACTTCCACTTTTAAACAAGGAAAATCCTTTAAGGTAATTGGTGAACTGACTCAGCAAGAATGCCACTGCGCCAGTCCGAGAATCGCAGAGCTCCGGTCCAGGTGGCTCCGGAGAACGGCATGAGGTCCGAGAGTTTTTCCAGAACATCCCATCCAGAGCACCCATCCCATGCCATCCTTGAAGTTTCAGATCCCCAAAAAGCATCCACCCACGCAGGGCCAGACCTGGGGGGGCTGTTTTGGTTGCTCAAAACATCGCTCGTCTTTGAGGTCTTGAGCCGGTCCTGCTGGCAGAACATGCTCCATCTCACCGATTTGCCCTCCTTCCGCGAACACGCCTGGCCGGTCTTCGTGACCTCTGTAGCGTTGAAGATGCCGGTGAAGCCCCAGCCGGACAACTAGCACCTCGGACAGCCCAAGTAAACACCTTCTCACCACGCAAACATGTGGATGGGGACCATGGGGAGACCTTTAAGGGGTGGTGTTCTGAATAGACTCCCCTTACCTACCAACTAGCGCAATTAGACACCCACAAAGGGTCTCCTGGTGGATGGATGGATGGTGAATTGTGGGAATGGCCGGACTGGGGGTCGGTGTGGTTGGGTCATGCTGACGGGCCTTTCCATCCGCGGACCTATGTCGCAGCGTTCCTCACAATACACGTGGTTTGATACCTCCTGAGGGACTCTCAGATGCCACTGCAGGCGGCAACTTAGGGATTTGGTCCCAAGGTTTTTGTTCGATTCTTTTTGGCTACAAGCACGCGTAGGCCGGATGAATGCGGCAACAGTGTCTTGCACAGCTGTGCATCTTCGTGAGGCTTGACATTTGTTGAACACTGTTGAGCACTGTGATCCCAAGTTCCCACATGCTATACATACTTTGCCAAGCATCGGTTCTTCGCGGACGGAATCAGCATGTGACCCGTCCATCCCGGGGGTGCACGAAGCCGAAAACGTCGACCGCTGAACTTCTCAGTTTGGATTTCTCTACACTGCGATCCTTGCGGACACCCTTTGGTGCCTTTGCATGGATGCTCGGGCACAACGGGTACGAAGTGTGATGGACGGATGGAAGGATGGACGGGGTGTTCTGACTTTGATAGACATGACATCGCCCAGCACCCCGTCTCACTTGGAGTTCTGGAGTTCGGGCTGAGTAGTTTGGAGACGATGCGACGCGCAGACGCACCACTCATTCAGGAAGCTCCTCCATGATGTGCCACTGCCGTGGGCAAAGATGATGGCTACCAGGTGAGGCGGTATGGGAGGGAGTGAATGACCGTGTATTCTAAAGACAAAGGAGGTTGTTTAGGAGGTGCACGGCTGGAGTCATTGAGGGGTGTGGTAAGTGTGGTACCTCAAAACCTTGAGAGAGGAGTTGCTTTGGCATGATTCAGATGCAGAGACTTGGTCATTTCCCGGTGGTTGTGGACACGAGGGGTATCGGATGAAGACATGGGGGTCAACAAACCAGTTCCAAGTATCAACACCATTGTGGTTGCTGATTGTTGGCGTTGGACATCGAATGACATCGGTTTAACGCCTAGGGCGGCTAGGGGGGTTGCAAGAGGCATACACTCCCTGAAATCATCATGATCATGGTTACGTGGATTGCACCACCAGCTTGGTATTCGCAAAAGGGTCAGGAAAAGGGGGCCGTGCCATCCACGTTGGGCCCCTGATTCTTCCAGGGAGTGTACGTCTTTTTGGTCGCCAAAGGAGGTCGCCCAAAACGGCCAGACCCGTGGGTCCCCCGTCCGACGAGGCCCGCGGTACGAGAGGGGATGACCTCGTCGCGAGCATCGCCCTGTGTCGCTTGGTCGCCGGGAAGAGCGGAGGTGGAGACTGTGACGTTGACACGAAAAGGACAAAACCGTTGGGACACCAAAGGATCCCATGTGCCATGATGCTAGGTTTCTAGGTTCTGGATACGGATGCATGTTTCTGGGATTTTCTAGGAGGGCGCTCATCAGTTGAGACCAATATCACACACCGAAGAAAGGGAGGGAGGGAGGGAGGGAGGGAACCCCAGATGCTTTGGCATCTCAGACGCCTTACTGTGGCATCCCAGTTTCCCATGCAAAACAACTGAATATGACAATGATGTCGAAAGCACTACAGGCAAATATGGACTACCCTCCGACTGAATCACATGGAAGTGGACAATTCTTTGTGTGGCATTGGGAAGGTCAACTTCCCATGGGGCCTGGGTAATTTATTTGGGGACCACATGTTGGTCGAAGACGATCGTTCCTGTAGCAGGCGTGGAGTCACGCGACCCTTTTGAGGAGGGCAAGGGTTTGCACCCATCGAGCATGAAGACCTATCTCCCGTTAGTGATTCAGAATGCCTGAACCGGCTTCATCTCCATGTGCGCTTCAATCGCTGGCCGGCAAGCGAAGCCACCAGCGTCGCCGCTGCCGAACACCGGCCGGGCAGTGAGTCCAACTGCCGCCCCCTTTTTGGCTCATCGCTGAAGTCGGTCCTTTGAAGTCTTGTCGGTCGCGCAAGACCAGTCGCTCGTTGCGTTGTTCCGGCCGGCCATGGCATATCCCACCTTGTTGCGCTCAGATTGGGAGGAGACTTGACAACGAACTGAGAAGAAAAAACATATAATATAATATAATATATATTTAATCTTGGATTATTTTGAAAGTCCTTCTGGACATGAAGACCGAGACAGGGCTGTGAAAGAATGTGACCGCGGAAGGTTGCTTGCTTCCTTCGCACGAGGACCTTGCGTGAGCACAGGTGCCGCTTCCTTCGCTCCAGTCTTTCAAGCTTTGAAGGCGGCGCGGCGTCGCCGGCGTCGGCCAATTGGAGTTGGTTGAAAGAGCCATCGTGCCAGCCTTTTGGAGGCATGCACGACTGCAGAACACTGCCCCAGAACATCCCAGAACCAAATCAGGGGAAGACCGACCTTGCTCATCACCGCTTTCAGGACTCCTCGTTCGCCCCTGCCGGTGCCACAAGGGGGAAGGGCGTGCGAAGCGCTGACGAACGGCACCACGCGTGCCGCAAAGGCGAAGGCAGCGAAACGATCTATTACATGCAAGATCCTTTTTCCGGGATTTGATCCCGAGCAACACGAGGAAAGGGCAGTCGCGCGTTTTTTGGATGGCTTTCACTGTGCCCAACTGGTTTTGCTTTCTTGAGGAGTCCATTTTGAGTTTGGGCCGGAATTGTTGCCAGGACTTCGAACTGGTCCCACGCATCATCGGACGCAATGGGTGAAACGTGCAACAGATTGCCAGCACCACCACTTGCAAAGTGCGCGTTCGTGGTCGTGGCAGCAGCCATTTGGAGATCCGTGACAATGGAGAGTACAAGGACTCGCTTTTGCACACACAGCAGCAATGCTGCAAGAGAATCAGAAAAGAGAAAAGGAAATTGAATATCAAGTAAAAGCAACAGCATCCCAAATTAGCAAATTGTTCGCTTTTGGGTTCCTTTACTCAGAGCGTCAGCCCTTTTCCATTTTGTTTACAGGAGGCGGAGGTTCCACTTGAGATTTCATTGAGCTGTGCCTCTTCAAAAGAGCTGAAGACCACGGTGGGAAAGGCTTTGAAACTCATGAAGGTGCTGTGTGGAGAACTTGGAACGTGTGGGTAGCGGGGTGCTTTGGTCTACTCTAGCGACTCTAGCTACTGTTTTAGAAACCTTGATTGCTGGGGAGATTCAAACTATTAGTTCTTTCCTGTCAAGTTAAGTCTGAATTCACACAATCCACTAGTTCACAGTGTTGATCTCAGGCAACAAAAAGGCATGTGGTTTTCGACGCCTGCAAGATTCATTAATGTGTTGTTTGCTTTCTGGAGGTCATCGAACACCACTTCATCCGCTATTGTCGCAGCAAGGGTCTACCGCGTTCAGGAAACCTACCAGCTTGCATAGATGAAGGCCCTTGAAAACATATATATATATATACATATATCTTTCGTTGTGCGGATCATCGCACTGCTCCGCGGTAAGAACCGCAGTCGTTCCAGAACCAAAGCCTATAGTATTGTACTATATTGTACTAGTATTGGTGTCAAACCTGAATTCATGTCATTTAGGTGAAACCTTGTGCCCCTTGTCCAAAGTCGACGGTGGCCTCTCCTCATGTCGACTACTTCGCCATGTAATTCAAAGTTTCAGGGTTGGGAAGGCTCAAACAGTTCTTAAATGGGTTATAAATTCTGTGTTTATTACTTTCCAAAAAGGCAAAACACTCTCGAATGGAGGAATTTTGGAGGAATACAACAACTCTTGTGCCAGCCACCAGTGGTTTGAGCCTTTTCGCCGTGAAGCATAGTTGCAAGGAGTGCTCCGATGGAGCTGCACTCAACTGCGATGGATTTGTTGAGGCATGTTGAGACCCCTCGCAGAAGCTGAACGTTCTGTGAAGATGGTTGGTCCGACTGTGGAAGAAATCCCAGTGACAACAGAAGTGACGAACTGTTTTTTGTGTCCGTCATCGAGAAGATGAAAACAAGAACGTTCGCCTGTGTTCACTACTGGCTGGAAGAGACAGCCCATTTACAAAGACCATCAAAGACCAATGATAGTAACAAGAAATGTGGCCGGTCATTTTCTGGACGTGACTTTCAGCTGAATTGCAGTCTTTCGAGATGATCGGATCATCGGATGATTTCATGACGTGCCGAGTCTTTGGATTGTCGCCACGGCGCCCAACAAACGAATCATTCGATGAATCTGGTGATGTCCAACCCGTTTGTAGAATACAGCCTTGTTAGCACTATGTTCGCCTGAGTGGCCAGGCCATGTGCTCCACCGAACCAACTGGTGGGTGACTGCCGGGGCCCCTGTGAACCGCCCGCAGTCCAGTCGTCCGATGCCCCGAGGAGAGCGAGACCAAGACTTTGACGGCCGACTTCCTCTATGAGAATTACCTGCAAGGCGACACGTCCATGTGGAAGACACACATTTGCGGAAGACATCGCGGTGATCGCGGCCGTTTTTTGTTTTTCGGTGTTCAACATCCAATGGATGTTGAGGGGGCGTTGTTCCAGATTGGAACTCATCAAGAATAGGAGTTAGGCCAGCGTTGTTTGGATGTTTGTATTTTTCTTCAAGACCGTCAGCATCGATGTTTGTGGAACAGAATCAACATGAGGTCAAGCACTTTTTAGTTGGGAGTCTTCAAGTTGTGCCAACACATTAGCACTCGGGAACAAAAAGTAAGGGTTCCCGGGTGGATGCGGCGTCCATCGAGAAGAGAGTGAGACGTTCTCTCATGCAATGCTGGCAATGTTCCCAGGGGCTATTGGTTGGTGGAAAACCTTTTCATGCAGGCCATTCGTGTTTTGTCATGACGAGTATATACATTTGGTATCATTTGGTGATGCCTTCAGTGGGTGCCGGGTGCCCTCACATACATCCCACATGAATCCACATGATAGGTGCCCCCCCAGATTGATCCACCCATTCCCCCCAAAACGCCTCGCTTCCTCCGCTCCGCTCCACCTTTCTGCTCCGCTGAGGCCATCAGCACTTGAGCCGCTCCACGGGTTTGCTGGTCACGCCCGGTGGCTTCGTCACCTCCACGGGCTGCTTCTTGAAACGCCGCGTGGGCGCAGCCCTCCGCGAGCTGGCGGGATGGGCAGGGCGAGAGTGGGAAAGGAGCGGTGTTTGGGGCGGAAAGATTCTTCGGGGTGGTGGCAAATTGTCGATTCTTTGGCCAGATTCCCCCACCTCTCCATGCCATGGCTGGCGTAGTTAAGACGTGGACAGAAGTGGGTAGTTAGTTCTTCACGCTCGAATGTCCCGGCTCGGCGTGAGGCGCGGCAGGTGCCCTCCTTGTCCTTGACGGGATGGAGTCAGGGCTGGTCCTCCAGCTTTTTGGCACAAACTCGGGCTACCTTTGGGCGTTTGTGTGGGATGGGTGGCGTATGCAGAGGCGCTGAGGTCGTGAATTTGACGCGGTGAAAAGGATGGGTTCGGTGAGCAGGTGAGATCACCTGCCACACCAGACATGGATGAGTTGAAGTAAAAGATTTGTAAAGGAGCTGAGTGAGGCGTGAATATGTGGTGAGCCGAGCGCGTTTGAACAAGACCTCCACCGGTGCCGGTCCCGGCGGGCGATGGGCGCGACCGAAGTGCTGAGGCTTTCGAGATGGTGGACAGCTTTGCGACTGGGAAGCACCGGAGGAGTTTGATGCTCGGGAGTCCACAAGACCACATGTGAGAAACTTCCACTTTCCAACCTGCTGGTTGGGCGCTTAGGATTTGGTTGGTATATCATTAACTTAAATAATCATAAATCATTATAATCATTTGCTTGAGTTCCAACCTCGAATTCAATCATAATCAGTTCTTCTTGGGTGGTTTGTTGGACAGTCGTTGCCTCGGGAACTGGCCACGAACACCATCATACTTTAGTCAATCGGCCACATCGATATTATTGGAGTCACTCTGTTTCTGCGTTGATTTCAAACTCCCCACACTTTTGGTTGACTTGATCATAGCTTCCTTTCCTCAGCATTGGATGCCACATGATATGCCATACCTCAATGGTGTGAGATGTTCTGGGTAGGTCCAAAACACTTCTCTTCCACCTTTCGCCGGTGCTGAGCTTAACGGGGTGTTGTTGCCTTTGGTGAAAGCGACTGATGCATCACGCTTTGGTTGGATCGGCTGGGGAGGGACCGGTAGCTACTGGTTCCACTTGCGTTTGACTTGGATTTGAGGAAACAAGGCAAACAGGGGCCAAACTAGCAGCTAGCAACGTCTTCTGGCAAGCTAGCCTATAGAAACTTGGACCCTCCAAACCTACATAACAGTGTATCCAATCACCTTCTGAGAAAGCACATGCGGAGGTGGAATAGCACTTCAAGTTGCAAACAGAAGTGCATAGCCGAAAAGAACATGGCAACTGCCAAAAGGGAATTGGAATTACTTTACTGGAGGTGGGCTACCTTTCTGGGTGCGCGGATGATCGCGGATGCCCGTTGCGCTTGACTTGCGCGCGTCCCATCCATGTTCCAGGCTTCTTTTGCGAGCGGGACCCTGAGGAGGACGGGTAGTCCACCGGACGGTGGAGACGTGTGAGGACTCGAGGACACTGAGGACTGATGGCTGTTGTGCTGAAACTCCCGTTGTGCTTTGGGCCATGCATGGGGCGATTTTCGGACGACTCGTTTCCAGACCTCCAATCTGCACCAACAAGTTGGTTGGTTGGCAGATGCAAGACCTCATCCAGGTCGGCTCCCCATCATGTTTCCTCAGAGGGAAGATGAGGGAATGGATCCAAAGGAATCGGTTTATTCCCTCATTCTGTCAGCTGTTCCATGCTCCGACACACGTTTGGGACGTCACCGGTGGTGCTTCAATCTGCAATAGGAACAGGTCTTTGCAGTTCCTACTCCAGTTCCTCTCCAGGCTCTTGAACATTCAGACTCAGAACTTCCACAAAAACAATCGCAGAGGGCCCCCGCATGTTGAAAGCTAACACAAAACCCTCTTGCCCATCTCACTCCTTGCATGCATCGGGCTCCCACTTCACGCGAAACCGCTCACCTGATTTCAGGTGGACATAGTACTTGTCCTTCTGACCTGTTGGGCGGGTGACCGTATGCTTCACTTGGTTGAGCATGTTTGGGAACAAACAGATCCATGGCGGAAGCCCCGTTTCTCCTTGTTCCAGGAGCGATGCCGGCAGTGCAAGGACACCCGCAGCTGGTCCACGCTGTCCGCCACCTTCAGCGACTCGGAGGAACCCCACGCAGGGCTGCGCCATGGACGTCGATGCGTCGATTCCGGGTTCCGCACCGATGGGGTATCCAATGGGCTGGGTATCCAGCGTGTCATCACGTTGACTGTTTGATGGTGTTTTATAGTTCCCTACCATCTTTATGTACAGGAGGGGTAAACCATGGTGAACCCATGTGAATCCCTTGTGGGGAAGAATCGTTCGTGATTTTTTCGTTCCACAACAAATCCAGGATGGCCATGAAGGTCGCTCGGACCATCGAAAACCTCGTTCCACACTTGGCCGGAGAAAGGTTGTAGCCTTTCAAATGATAGGTCCAGCGCCCCATTGCATTCGGGGTATGGTTTGCCGGTGATGATCACTATGTTTTGGAGGTATATAGCGCGACCTGACTGGAAAAAATATGACAAACTTGTATTTTGACGTCTTGATTTGGGAGCTAGCCCAACAAATTTCTGCTTCTGGCCTACGCAGGGCCAGTTTCCGTTGGGCAGGAAGCTTGCCTCGGTGTCAGTTGCACGTCGATGTGTTCCGCAACATTTTGCCGAAACACCGCGGTCGAGATCTTTCAAGGTAAACCTGCATGAAATGATCATGTCGACTGTTAATGAAATTTAAATAAGTAACCCCCCGACCAGAATGGAACAGAACATACACAATGTCCCATCAGGGGTTTGAAACATCATGCGCAGGAACTATTTGCATTGACCATTGTCCTAGCACAGTTGGCCGTGTTTGTGTATGACTGCATGTGATAAAGATGTTTATTGAAAGGCGAGGACACCAATTAGCTGAACTGAGCCAAGGCAGTATAGAACAGCAGACTGCACGGAGGGAACCGGGTGAAAGCACGCCTTAATCTCAACGAGCAGAAGACCACACTGAAAGGTTCATTCTCAGGCTCAGGTCGTAGAGCCATCGCACCCTCACGAATAGCACAAAAGGAAGCTGCCCACTAACTAGACAACCCCCACATGCAGCATGTAGATGCATGTAACTGCACCCTTTGCCATAATTGCACCCAAGCTATCCCAAGCTGCCAAGCCATACATCCTTCGGACAGACCATTGGGCCCTTTGACCAGACAGGGCCTGCGAACTTCACCTTCTCGAGGCATGAGTTTCAATGTCGAACTCGCCGAACCCACCCAGGCAGGGGAAACCCGTTGAGTGACAACCCGTTCACGCAATGTGTTTCGATGGCGGGTTCGTTGTCCGAACCATCAGAACCATCAGAACGATTGATTCATGTTTGGCGTGTTTCGTTGAGACAAGCTAGCATGAAATGGAGGCTAAAGATGCAATTCCCCATGTGTTTTGTTATGCCTTCCCAGGGATTTGGGACCTTGAAACAATTTTTGGTGTGGTCCGTGAACTGTCGAGGTGTGGGCAGTTGATTCCACCGACCACTTGTCATGCCTTGGCTGGAGTGGTTGGTCCAGAGACGGGGGATGATTACAGTATATGCGAATGGAAGTGCAGCGACATGTACAGTGCAACATGTACATATATATGTATACCATATGTACTTTGGCTCAAGGATCAAGCGACTAGAAAAGGTGCGGATTCCGTTCCGACGCTACGCCGCTTATGGACCGTCAGTGATAGCTTCAAACTTCGCTGATTAAGATCCACTCGCAGGTTATCAGCCGTACGCGCTCTTTATAGCCGTACGAGCTACACGAGACCAAGAACAAGACTAGTCATTACAGAAACCTGCAATGTCAAGCTCAGGAGGAAATGGAAGCGAACCCTATTCATTCGCTGCTCCTGGTGGTCCCAACACCATTTCGTCACCAGACTCTACAATGGGTACTGATTCATCAGCAAATGCTGACGTTATCACTATGCCTACAGGATCACAAATCTCGGAAAGATCCGTGCCACCGGCTCGGAATCTGACCGATCTTGCGCCCGTAGGACCAAGAAGATCGATGAGAGCTACAACAAGATCTACATCGCCTATAACGTCTACCGCAAGATCCCCAAGAAGGAGTATAGAGAAGAGACGTGACGATGATAGAGGAACAAAAGAGCAAAGAAGAGAGATTCAGCTGGGTGAAGAATTGAGATCGGCGAGAAACGCATACAATTTTCTTCATCAAGAATATGAATGCATCCAAGCCGGATACTCACGACTACACCACGAGGCTGAAGTGGAGTTCAGGCAAATGTCTGACTACAACAGGAAGATGCAGGAGCATCTACAGGAGATGACACAGGAGGATGAAGGAGCGATAATAAGAATTGAAGAGCTCGAACACAAACTACGCTTGGCGGAATCGACAGCTGAACATATCTACATGAGATATCAAGAGCTTGCGCAAGAAACTCATCAAGAACATTCAGAGCTTGAATCTGTGAAAGCAACGAAGGACAGAATGTCCCAAGAGCTTCAAGCAGCAATTGGACACATCCAAGAACAGAATGAATCTTCATTGGCGATCAATAGAAGATCAAAAGCCATTCATGATGAGAACACAGCCTTCGTTGGAATAGCTGACCAGATACAAGCTAGAATGATTGCGCTACAGGATGAGAATGTCAACATGCACGAGGTGATCCAACACCAGAGAGAAGAACAGTGGAACAGTGAGGTCAGGGAAAGACGTCTTCAACACAATGTTCACTCATCTCAAGATCAGAGCAATCAGGAAGCTATGGTTATTGATCACCTACGAGGTCAACTAGCTATGGCACGTGGAGCCGAACTCAACGCGAAAGCGGAGATGGGAGAGATGGAAGTGGGCATGAGGATGGAGATGTTTATATGCCAGACTGAAGTATCTGCTAAAGAAATGGCAGATGCGAGGGCGAGCCACCACGAATACGAAGCAAACGTAGCAAAAGAGGTCATCGCAAAAGGAGAAATATTCAACAACGAAGTCCTAGAAGGCTCCATCCGTGAACGACAACAATTGAAAGACGTCAACCTCGCTCTATCCGAAGCCAACGCACAGCTGAAAAGAGAGAATATGATGAGAGCTCCTATGTTCGGCGATGATGGTGCTGAAATTCAACAGAAGATCAGAGAACTGGAGGATGCACTATTGGAAAGCCAGAAGGAGACAAAGAATGTCATTATGGAAAATGCGAAATTAAAAGCAGAAGCACGAATGGCACCCATAGTCTCTCGGTACAGCAAGCGTTCTAGTTCCAGAGACCGCGGGTTACCAACCCACGCGTCCGAGGAAGATGAGGTTCGGAACGCAAAAGAGGAGGCGAAATACTACAAGGACGGGTACAATGAAATGACAGAGAGCCGAGATGAGATGTATGAATGGTATGCCGAAACCCACAATGAGTACGCCGAGGAAAGGGAGAAATCAATTGAGCTGTCCGAGGCGAACAAATCATTGAGGGATAAGATTTCAGAAACAGAGGCATCCTCTTCATCTCATCTTGCACCGGCAACCTCTACTGTCATGAAGGTATCGAGGAAGGAAGAATCGAAGATAAACGTTCCGTCATGGCCCAGGATCAATGATATTGGATTATGGAAGGCAAATCTCATTCAATCAATCATCATTGCGGCCAATGATTCAGATCAAGAGCCCTGGATCGACTGGATCAAAGAAGCCATGGACGATCCTGATCCGGACAAGTTTGTCGACTCAGGAGACCAAAGATTCCATTCAATCGATGCTAAACTCGGCCTAGCTCTTACCAAGGTCGTCATGGATGCGAAAGATGATGGTTCAGGTGTAGCTATGAAGTTGAGGACGAGGATCAATGCAAAAGGGAGAACATCAAGCCTTATAAAGGGAAGAGAGGTCCTAGCCCTGATCCTTATGAACTTCAAGACAACATCAAATGTGGAAGTCTTATATACCTCAATGCACCTCTACCAACTAGAATATCAAGGAGACAAGAACTTATCGTTGTTCTTCCACACTTGGGATGAGATTCTGGCAGGAATGAAACCCGTTGACGTCCCAAGCGACGAAACTCTTCGGGATCTCCTATGGAGAAAGATCAGGAACTCAAACCTCATGGCATACGACATCAGCGCCTACAACAGCATGAACGACGATGATGCCAAGAAGACATACAAACATCTACGTGATATGATCAGAAGGCACATCGAACGGCAAACTGAAGACAGAATGATCCTGGAAAAGGAGAAAGCAGTGAAGAATGTGGCCAATATCTTTCAGAATCTCAAACCAGGCGGACCTGCTCCAAAACTGAAAGCTGCACCAGCTGATCCGAAGAAGAAACCAAAAGGGCAACAAGAACAGGTTGCCCCAGAAGATGCTGCTGCAGTGAAGCCGAAACCCAATCCCAAGAAGCATCCTGAAGACAAGAACAAAAAGGGAAAGGGGAAAGGTAAAGGTGATGGAAAGGATCGCAGCCGAAGTCCGAGTACAGATAAAAAGAAGATACCGTGCAAATTCTTCGTGAAAGGTAACTGTACTATGGGGAAAGATTGCCCATTCAGTCACAAGAAACCCAGATCGCCATCCAGAGGACCTTCTGTCGGAAAGAATGACAAGCCAGTATGTTGGATGTGGATTCGAGGAACTTGTGACAAAGGGAAGGATTGTAAGTTCTACCATGACCCAAAAGCCTCTCCTAAGAAAGGGATATCTGCACCAGCTGACTCAGGAGACGATAGGCCGAAACCCAAGGCAAAACCCAAGCCGAAGCCTAAGGCGAAGCCTGGAGCCCCGGCCATTGGCGGTGAACTCTTCATGGACGAATCCGAAGATGAAGGGATTGTTGCATCCGCCAAGGCAAGAGAAGGAGGTACAAAAATATCCTTTGATGAAGAGACTTGTGAGATCATGTTGAACGAAGCGATCTACTCAGTCAGGGACAAATGGAAGGTAGTAGAAAAGAAACCTCTACGTCCGGACATCAGACGATATGATGAGAAAGAGCTCACCTGCTACACGAGGAAAGAACAAATCAGATTTGAAGAAAAGGTCGCAGAGGCAAGAGGCATATTGATGGTCCCCTACACTGAGATCAAGAGGATCCGAATACCAGTTGGACCAAAGGGTGACCTATCGGTCACTATGTCTTTTGATGAAGATGACGGCCTAGTTTTCCATCATAAAGTCATTCCTCATGTATGCGAGGGAAAGAATGATCATGCAGACACAAAGACGTTGTCTATTCCAGCCAAAGGGTCAAGAACGAAGTTCATCATGGACACAGGATGTGGGTATGATCTGATATCGAAAGGCAGAGCCAAGAAACTAGGTCTGGAAGTGAGAGAAAGCGACCAATCAATGTCATTCTATACCGCAAATGGAGTGACATCCACAAAAGGGGTCGCCGACATTCATTTCGACGAATTTGATTCTACCTACTCCCCATTCGTCCTAGATGAATCTCCTTCAGTACTGTCTGTTGGAAAGAAATGCATGGAGGAAGGATACACATTCATATGGCCAGCCTGCGGCAACCCGTACATGATTTCCCCGAACTACAAGAAAATAATGTTAGAAGTAGAGGGAAACATCCCATATATTGTCAAGGGCAGTGACTTCTGTACTCCCACCGACGATACAAGGGCGGAGATGATCGCAAGGCTCACCCTAGGAGAAGATGAAGCCGATTACCAATCGACTTTCATCAACTGTGATGTGGATCCTCAAGGGATCATGTGTGATAATGACGACCTTCCTGTGATTGAACCTCCAAAAGTCAAAAGGCGAAAGAGGAATAAGAAGTTCAAGGCATCTCCTGGAGAAGAAGATGAGGTAGGATCAGATGTCGCCGGAGACAGTGAACCAGAAGCTGACGATGATGATGCAGATGACATCGAGGTGGATGTTGTTGACGGTGCAAGTAGAATGGTGAGAAGAGGAACTCTGAAAGCAGATGCCAGGAAAATCGAGCATCTACTCACACATCGTTACAAGAATCCCTACTGTGAATCATGCATCAGAGCAAAGATGAAACACTTCAAGACGCATCGGGGAGCGTTCAAGAGAAAGCTCAAAGCTTTTGGAGACCTGGTTACCTTTGATTTTGTCGATACAAGGAACATCCTTGATCAAGGGATCAGTACTGATCGAGAGATCTTCGTCATTCGTGACAGGTACACAGGCGTCATATGGGCCTATCCGTCGAAAGAGAAGTATACCAAGGACGTGATCAATGCAATAAACCACTTCAAGGGATTGAGGAAGATCAAGATT